TGGAGCTCAGAGCTTGAGACTCCCTACCGATTGAAAAAGACAACCGTGTCCTCAGCCACCAGCCCTCTCCGCATGCGCCTCCGTACCTCTGAACTTTACTTCCGCACTGCAGCTCCTCTGAGTCTCGGTATGCTTTTCTCTTTCCTTCTAGTTGTAGAATTTCCACTCAGCCAGCCTTCCTGTGGTTCTGGATGATGTCCGTTCCATCTTTTAGTTGTATTATTGAAGTGGTTGTTCGCAGCAGCAAACTCCAGTGTTTACCTATGCCGCCATCTTGGTTTTTTCTATATTAGTCATTTTCTATTTTGTTAGTTTATTTTGTTCATTAGATTCCACATGAGTGAAATAATTTGGTACTTACCTTTCTCTGACTGGCTTATTTCACTTAGTATAATGCTTACCAGGTCTATTCATCATTTTTTATTATTTTACTAGAGGCCTGGTGCACAAAATTCCTCCATGCCCTTTGAACCCCTGGTGCAGGCAAGCTGAGAGCTCTCTGCTGCGGCCCCGCCCCTGTCCTGATTGTTACGTGATGGTGTCACAGCAATTTGCATATTCCTCTATTATTAGTGTTTTTTTTTTGCGTCCAAGTAGTATTCCATTGTGTACCATAGCTTTTTATCCACTGATTTCTAGAGAGAGTGGAAGAGATGGAGGAGGTGGTGAGAGAGAAAGAGCTAGATGAGAAAGACACATTGATTGGTTGCCTCCCATACTCACCCCCGCTGGGGAACCTGCAACTGAGCTGTGTGCCTTTGACCGAGAATTGAACCTGGGATCCTTCAGTGCATAGGCTGACACTCTAACCACTGAGAAAATTGGCCAAGGCTGGACCATAGCTTGGGCTGTTTCCAAATCTTGGCTATTGTAAAAAATGCTGCAATGAACATAGGGGTGTATATATTCTTTCAAATTAGTGTTTTGGGTTCCTTTGGATATATTCCCAGAACCTGGAATCACGGGTCATAAGGAAGTTCCATTTTTAATTTTTTCAGGAAACTCCACACTGCTTTCCACAGTGGCTGCACCAATCTGCATTCCCACCAAAGGTGCATGAGGGCTCCCTTGTCTCTGTATCCTCACCAACACTTGTTTGTTGGTTTATTGATGATAGCCCTTCTGATAGGGGTGAGGTGATATGTCATTGTGGTGAACAGATTTTTTTTTTTGTTAATCCTCCCCCGAGGGTATTTTTCCATTGATTTTTAGGGAGAGTGGAAGACAGAGGGAAAGACAGAGAGAAACATCGATGTGAGAGAAACACATTGATTGGTTGCTTCCTGCATGTGCCCCAACCAGGCCTGGGCTAGAGAGGAGCCTGCAACCAAGGTGTGTGTCCTCGACTGGAATTGAACCCGGGACCTTTTGGTCCATGCCAATATTCTATCCATTGAGCCATATCAGCTAGGACGGATTTCTTTCTTTTTATAAAAAAAATATATTTTTATTGATTTCAGAGAGGAAGGGAGAGGGAGAGGGAGATAGAAACATCAATGAAGAGAGAGAATCATTGATTGGCTG